AATAAATAAACGTTAAAAAAAATTTTTTTTTAATAAAAATAAAAGACTACTTTTGAAAATAAGGACACTGATGTGGCAACTGTAAAATACAGTATTTCCCCAACTTCAGAGAGACAAAAATTAACCCCTTTATTTCATGCAGCTTTCTTTACCCCATTTAAGCCCTACAGACGTGAAGAAAATACGCTTTAAAAAAAAGAACTTTCAATCCCACGTAAAGCTCAGAGAGGAAGCTTTGGGAGAATACCCTTTGCACAGTTTTAAAATAAGAAGACACTTCTCGCTTACTTTTCCATTTCAACTGTAATAATACCTCCAGCTCCTGAAACTTTAAAGATTCTGCTTTTAAAATCAGGTGATGAAGCGCAACACGCTCGCAACCCATCCCAAGTGTTGGCACCTAGATCTGACTGCACCATGTCCCTCTTTGCCAGGGACCTATCGGGAAACCCTCCTGGTGCTGTTGGCGATGAAAGATGAACAGCAGGGGACCCGGACCGACACACGAAGCAGTTACCCAGGAGGAGTGCTCCTTCATCTGGTGTTGGTTGCTGTGAGGGCCGCTGGCGTGGCCACGCCAAAAGCAGTTTTGGCAGAGCTGGTAGTTGTGGCACTGCTGGCATCGGTACCGGAAGCCCATCATACTCTCACACCGGCAATAGGAGCACTCCACGGGGTGGAAGACTTGTGGCAGGCAGACAGCAGGGCAGGGGAGAAGGGGCGGGAGAGGAGGAGAAGCAAGTTATCTTACTTTCACTCGGAGAGTCAAGTCAATACACTGGAAAACCACACCTGATGCAAAAAAGCAAAAGTGAAAACAACACTAACACTGAAAACTCTGAAGCGTCTCCTAGTTAAGTGAGCCGCCATTTACTAGAATAAGGGGGGAAAACAATAAATGAGAAAAGTTTTTCAAGTTACAATATTACATTCCAGGGGTGCCCAGTGGCTTAATAGGTTAAGCCTCTAACTCTTGATACAGGCTTAGTCCGTAACCTCCTGGCGGTGACATTGAGCCCCCTGTCGGGCTCCACTCTGAGCATGGAACCTGCTAAGACTGTCTCCCTCCCTCTCTGCCCCTCCCCTGCTCATGTGTTGCATGTGCATGCGTGCTTGCTCGCTCTCTCTCAAAATAAATAAATAAACATTAAAGAGAAGAATATTACCTTCCAATTCACCTTAGAAAATAACCAATTTCTTTAAAACGAGACTCATGCTTCTCAAATTCAGATAAATATATAAGAAGAGAAACTTTCAGTCTAAAATTTATTTTTCAAACCCATTGCTTTTTAAAGAGATTTATCATTGTCAGCTGTACAGACATTTGTTTCCTTTGCTAATAACACCTGGAATGATATACTACGGGTCTCTATTACCTGAAAATGGTATTTTACACAGTACCTTCAACTGAAGGCCTTCAAATGTTGGCTGAACTAAATGCTACAACATGCCTGGGCACAAGTTTGTGGTTACTGGTAAAAAAAGTAAGGCTAGACATATTACCATGTTAGTTTTAGGTAAGAGTTCTAAGTAGCAAAACAGTAAAATAAAGTACTCTAGACCAACAAAGCAGCGGGGATTTGGAGGAAGGGAATCTTAGGGACCTGTCACCCTTTTCTCCGTTCATACAGCATGTCACCTTATGCAAACCTGCCAGGTAGCAGTCAGGATTCACAGAGATTGCTGGGATTCTCTAACAGCCTGAACATCCAGTTCAGTGAGTGGGAAGTGGGCAATGCATAACTGTATATTAAAGACAGTTGTTTATTCTTTTAAGTGTTGGTAACATAATTGTTCCCTCTGGCAATTCAATTCTGAACACAAGAAATGGAAGTCAATAGGAGAAGGGCATACAGTATTCAAATCTTCATTTGAATAACTCTTTCTAGCAATATGTATACAAATCCAATCTTATTTCAATAATAAGGGTTTTGGGGGGCGTCTGGGTGGCTCAGTCGGTTATGCATCTGACTTTGGCTCAGGTCACGATCTCACAGTTCGTGAGTTCAAGCCCTACTTCAGGTAAGCTTGAACCCCACATCAGGTGAGCTAGAGCCCCACTTCGAGTGAGCCCCACATCTCTCTCCCTCTCTCTCTGCCCCTCGCTCACTTGCACCCTCTCTCTCTCTCAAAAAAATAAAATAAGGATTTTGGGTTCTGTTTCCAAAAATGTACACCAAGACTCAGGGGGGGAAAAAAAAGGAGCACTTGGTGAAGAAAACAATGTAACAAGATCATTAAAGACTATAAAAAGTAAAATCAGGAATAAGAACTCCAAAGGACATAATTCCTCTAAGAAATTCAAGCATTTTGTCATCAAGATATTTCTAAGGAATAATGAAAGTGCTGATAAGACTCTGTGCTCCAAATTAAAACTATACAATCTAGTAAAGTTCCACCAAAGAACACTACTCTCAAATCAATCTGGAGCTAATATCAACACAGTCAACATCAGCATATCAGAATTTATAATTCTATATAACTTTCAGTTAATATTAAATAATATATAGGGGCACCTGGGTGGCTCAGTCGGTTGAGCGTCCGACTTCAGCTCAGGTCATGATCTCACGGCTCATGAGTTCAAGCCCTACATCGGGCTCTGTGGTGACAGCTCAGAGCCTGGAACCTGCTTCAGATTCTGTGTCACCCTCTCTCTGCCTCTCCCCCACTCATGCTCTGTCTCCCTCTCTTTCTCTCTCTCTCTCAAAAATAAATAAACATTCAAAAAAATTAAAAATATATACATATTAATATTAAATTATCAAGTATATTCTGACAATCTTGGATGAATATGCATGTCTATGTGATTTTTCTTTTCTTCTACACCAGTCAAGAGCCAACACTTACATTAGATAGTATAAGGGGCTGACCAGATGGAAAGGAGAGCCAGACTAAGGAAAGGATCACCTACGTACTGGGTCAATTATAAATAAGATCAAGTTTTGGTAAAAGTATTCTTTTTGGAAGAATACATCATGTTGTATCTTCTTATATATTATATGCTTGGATTTTTCAATAAAAAAAGTGCAACTTCTGCTTAAGCAAATAGATATCTGTCCTTATTGATAGTAACTTCAATATGATTCCAGCGATGAATTCCATAGAAAAAGCCCAAACAACAACAAAAATAACATATAGAAATATATAGAAATATCATAATTTTAGAATTTACTTCCTGCCATAAAAATTAAGATATGTAGATAAATGTTACCATGATAGATAACATGTTTTATTTTTAAGATATTGCAATGAGTTCATACTATTTCTCTGTTGCTGAGGAAAATATCACTAACCTCATAAGAATGTAATCAACAAGTAATACACTATACACAAAGTAACAGTAAAATGTTCACAATGATAACAAAAAACCAGAACAAAAGAGATTCTTTCTACTTGGCATAGCAAATACAAAATCATTTCATGAAAACAAATTGAATATAAAAGTACTAAAACACTTCAGGTTAAAAGTATTGCCTCCAAAAGAACTAATAATACTGTAATAATTTAACAGTATAAATCTCTATCCAAAAATCTTGTTAAAAAATTATTTAACTGTTTTAGTTTAGTCAAGAGATTCTAGACCTTTAGGAAAATAATCCTGAATCTAAGGTACCTGTGAACTAAAGCCACAGTGGGGCAAAAGGCTGAGAGGTTTAAAAACAGAAGATATGGATGGGACAGAGAGAAGATAAAAAGAGTATGGACGTGTATTTCATTCTTACAAAGGGAAAAAGGCTCTGCTTTTTAGCTCCTTTCACTTGTTACTGGTTCTCTTTGGCGGAATAAGATACAGGCAAAGGCCCGGAGAGGAAGGAGGGAGGTTACACAAAAAACTTCAGCCTTTCCTTTAACAAACTTAGACAACCTAAACAATGAGATAAATGGATAACAGCAGAAGAAAAAATTAAGAAGTTACTAAGAGATAACTGTCATTTTAAGCAAAACAGATTTAGTCAAATTCCTGGAAAAGATACCAAGAGTAATTCAAGGTAAAATAGTAAAGGAAGAAGTAAAGATGTATGAAGTGCCAAATCCTACCTTAGCTATTCTCCTTGAAACTACTCTAAAAGCATTATAATTTTAGTGGGTGATACTGCATATATGCAATTTTTTAGAACTATGAATTTTATAAGTTAAAGGAAAAAAGGAAGGCATGGGTAAATCAGGTCGGTTCAAGTAGAAAACAATCACCTGAAATCTCAGGGGGAAAAGCCAAGAGTGTGAACCACAAAGTTTGATACTGCTATTTCTTGGTACCCTAAGTAATAAGTCCCCTTCCCTTACTTTTCTTTAAGAAATAAATATCCATCGAGGCGCCTGGGTGGTTCAGTAGGGTAAGTGTCTGACTTCACCTGTGTCTGACCTCACAGTTCGTGGGTTCGAGCCCCGCATTGGACTCTGTGCTGACAGCTCAGAGCCTGGAGCCTGCTTCAGATTCTGTGTCTCCCTCTCGCTCTGCCCCTCCCCATTCATGCTCTGTCTGTCTGTCTCTCTCTTTCTCGCTCAAGAGTAAAATAAGCATTAAAAAAATAAATGAACTTGTAATTTAAAAAAAGAAAGAAATATCCCTCTTTTGAAAGCTAAAATCACAAATCCAAATGACAGAGTGACAACAAATGTCAATTATAATTTTCAATGGCAATCGCTAAGGACATTACAAAATACTATCAGCTCGTGTATTTCCTATAGCACAAGAAACTGAATGATAAAAGTTCCGCTTACCATTCTCAACATGGGCAAGCCTATGCATGAGAGGTAGCCAGACAAGGCACTGGGGGGGAGGATCGGCCATCATTGTGTCTAAAAACATATTTAGCATGATCTTTTTCTGTAAAGAGAAGAAGAGCAAACATACTTTATATTATTAATGAATTCCAAAATTACGTTGATCTAGAATTCTCCCAACCAAGTTGTAATGAATTCCTTGTGAAAGTCCATAGCAAAATACAATATCTTACATTACTAGAGACAATGCAACATACTGTATGTCACTACAATAGTCACATGCATTTCCACACACACTATTTTGAGTCTTAAAACAACTGTACCAGGTAAATAGGTTAGGTATTATGACTAACTTCATATTACAGATGAGAAAATAAAGAAGCGTTTATATGACTTGTGAAGGTCCTACTCAAATAGGATACAAAGCCAGCACAGGAACTCAGCTGTCCTTCAAACTACTATTATTAACCAGTGGGGGAGACAGACATCCCACACCTTATTATAAAACAACATCAGTGAGGGACGCCTGGGTGGCTCAGGTGGTTAAGTGCCCGACTCTTGATTTTGGCTCAGGTCATAATCTCACCGTTCATGGAATCAAGCCCCAAGTCAGGCTCCCCACTGACAGTGTGGAGCCTGCTCGGGATTCTCTCTACCTCTCTTGCTGCTCCTCTCCCATGCTTGCTCTCGCTCACTCTCTCTCTCTCAAAATAAAACAATAAATAAACATTAAAAAAATCAGTGAAAGCAGAACTACTCCATTTATTGTTTACCGTATCTCCAGCATTTCATAACATTGGTGTGTTATCACTAAATAAATACTGCAGTGAGGGGCAAACACTCTTAAACATCATTTAACAACTTTCTTGTACAGAAAGAAAGAAAGAAAACTAAAGGGAAGAATTGGACGAAATTAGAGCCTAAACATCCAATGTCCATCACCCCCCCATTACATCATCTCCCCAGCTAGACTGCATTTTTCTGTTTCATCTTTATTTCTCTCTTTTAAACAAATACATACGAAGCTTCCACTGTATGTGAAACACTGGTATAATTATATTCCACTGGATACAAAAAAAAATGAGAAAACAGTTTAGAAAAAATAGAGTCATGAGATACAGATAGAACAGATTATCAAAATTTTTCAAATTAATGAATTTTCCTTATTTCCTCTAACCCACAAAGCACCTTTCCTGCTCCAAAATAGGAAAGAAAAAAGGAGGAAAGAGGAATGTCTTACAACTAGATGGGAGAGCTCTGTGATTATAACCTGGACACAGAGGCCCCCACTTCCAACTTTATTCCTAAAGAAGGGCAGAGACAAAGGGGTGAACACAGGAGAGCAGGAGATACAGGCCCAGTAAGTAGTGCTTTTCTAACAAGCCCTGGTCCCACCATTCAAAGGCAGGGGGAGGGAATGAGGACTAGAGCAGGTGGACACCAAAAGGCACCCAGAATCTCATCTCACTCTCCCAAGTAACTACGTTCTCAGTCCCACCACCTTTTCTTGAGGTGAAAAACAGGGTATATGAAATGGAGTGTTTCCCCATAAAACTTTAAAATACTTTATTTCAGGAAGGAAAAAAAAAAAGGACAAAATTGGTTAGAGCCGACTCAAAGATTTTGCCAGTACATTATAAAACAAGTGATTTTTACCACTAATCCGTTCACCTCAAACTGGGAGCAACAAGTGAAGGCACCGGGGTGGCTAGTCAGGAGGATGGCGACCTCCAGCATTTGTATCTGATCCACCGTGACACCTTGGCAGTGATGGTTCCATCATGCAAACAGGAGACTACAGACTCACTTCTGTGTATCTTTTTGGCAACTATGAGAATCTTGATTTCATTGTATGTAAATTGGAGACAATTCTTATTAAGAATAATCTTAAAAAAAAAAAGAAACTGGTAAGTAGGGAACAGAAAAGGGAGGATAAAGTAGATGTAGAGCAAGAAAGGCTTTTGCAATAAAACTCAAAAAAGATGAAGAAATAGGAAGGAGAGCCTCAGATTCAGGACAGAGGCTGGAGGCCAACATTGACTTGAGGGAGGGAAGGGGCGAGCAAGAGGGCTGAATGAGGGTGATGATAGTAAGAACCTACCATACAAAGGCCCTTTATAGATACCCGTGCGTGGGGTGAAATTTGAAAAATATCTACTCAATTAGGCCAAATAAAGTTTTCCAAAGTGTTTTCCATCTCAGGCATCCAAGTCCCTAACGTTTCTCACACCTGAGTGGAATCTCGGAGGAATGAGTGAACAACATGAAAAACAAAACCAGAAAGTCACCAAACATTTGAATGGAGGTCCAGATACAGAAAATGCCTCTTCCTCTGGATATGCACATAACTGTAACAAAGCAACAAAAAAATGAAAAGTGTCCCCGTAACATTACTGAGAAAGAAGATACTAAGAAGTGTTTTTTAGCTAGCAAGAGGTAGCAACCAAAACTTAAATGTATGTTTTAATTAATATTTCTATATATTTTATATCTAATTTGTTATTTTATATCTAATATTAAAATTAATTTTTACAAGTCTACCTGTAATTCTAATGCTACTTTCTCTAAAAAGTTTTGACTCACCTATCATGGAGGCTTCTTTTTTAATCTTCAAGATGAAAAGGAACAATTATATATGACATCTCATTAGACCCTGATAAAAATGCTCAGGGTCAGCTTACAAAAGTTGTTCTAAGGTCATACTGTAATGTGAAGTCCTCCAAAATCATGAGGAATGAAACCAGAACTGTGTCCCAGTAGTATCTTCAATAAACCATGTGATTTGGGGAAAATCGCTTACCCTTCTGGTTTCAGTTTTGTCACCTATCAAAGGGTAGAGCAGTAGTTCTCAAGTGTGTTCAGAAGCTGCCCTGTTGGTTCCTAAAACATTTGCAATGAGTCCCTGAGGCTGGGGCTATTTTCATAGAATTCTCAGACATTATTTGCCCTTTTCAATCTCATTCTCTTATAGGCAAACAGTGGGCATTCCAGAGGCAAGGCGGCAGATTCACAACCATCTGAAAAAGCTACTACAGCACTCCTCCCTTTCCCAACTCCTCGCCACACGAGGCCAGATTTCTTTCTACACTTCAACTAAAACAACGTATCACAACAGATTGAAAGGATAAGCAGATAGGACAATCCAGCTATCTTCAACTGAGCCAAATATTAAAATGATTTGCAAAAATGTAGAACCATGGCATTCTTGTTAAATTTTTTTTGTTTTGGGATATATAGCTTTTTTTCATAAAAATATGTTTTCGAATATATAGCTTTTCTTCATAAAAATGTTTTCAAATATATACCTTTTTTTCATAAAAACATTTAAGATTCAACAGACTTCTCATTGTTTTTACACGACAATATCTTTAATTTCTCAATTTTAATTTCTAGTATAGAACTATTAATAGAAATAACTCACATGAACAAAAGCTCTTTGGGGTCCTCAATAATTTTTATTGTAAAGAGGTCCTGAGACCAAAAAGTTTGAGAACTGCTGAGCTAGACTTCTCAGGTCAAAAATTCCATGACTTAGTAAATAACTGTGTAAATGACCAGTTAGCACTTTTTTCTCCTTTTTTGTTTTGTTTTTCATCCTTGAGTTGAACACATTCTTTGCATTTTTCCCTATTTAAAAAAAAAAACTTTTTTTTTTAAATGTTTATTTATTTTTGAGAGAGACAGAGACAGAATGCGAGTGGGTTAGGGGCAGAGAGAGAGGGAGACACAGAATCCGAAGCAGGCTCCAGGCTCTCAGCTGTCAGCACAGAGCCCGACGTGGGGCTCGAACCCACAAGCTGTGAGAGCCGAAGTCAGACGCTCAACCGACTGAGCCACCCAGGTGCCCCGCATTTTTCTCTATTTTTATAGCACAGTATTTATAACAAAAACTACAACAAAATTACAAAAACTGCTTCCCACAATTCTCATTTTCCTATATTTCCCTGTAAATGTACATATGATTCTATGTAATTATGTACATAGGGTAGATAAAAATATATAATGTTTTTTCACTTAACTTTTTTTAAAATACTAATTGTTTTGCTACAAGGTCTTCATTTCTAATCATTTTAACAGCTGCCTGATCCACTGAGCTGAGATGCCATGATTTATCTCTGCCTTCCTCTATAAAACACTGAGGCTGTTTCTATCCTTGTGTATACTCATATATATTTTTCCCTGGAAGTAAGCATTTCTTTTTGTCACCTACCTTCCTGCCCTTTGTTATTCTAATCCTCAATACTGACAATTATTACCCTAGAGCCATTCTCACCTCCTTCCCTCTACCCATGACTACATTTTCCCTGTTTTAAAAGGGGGTAGAGACCACCCCTTAAAAATAAGAAATCCAGTATCACTAAAACAACATGAGAAAACAAGTAAATTAGTTTAGCATTGGGTCATCACAGGTACAATTTCCAGCCTCATCATTTCCATTAAAACCTCCTCCTATTTCCTTATGGGCAACAGGTAAGGTTTTTTTTGTTTTTTTTTTTTTTTTTAAGACTTTTATTTTTAATCTCTATACCCAATGTGGGGGCTTGAACATACAACCCCGAGATCAGGAGTCACATGCTCTACCAACTGAGCCATCCACGTTCCCCAACAGGTAAGTATTTCTTATTCATTGCTCTGACTTACTTGGTAATCAGTAAAACCATGAATGACATACGGTTAACAAACCTGAAACATTTTTAAAAATGTTTTTAAAGTCTTCTAGATTAAAATATTTTTATACAAACTTTTGTGTAGAGTTAAAAATATTTTGTCTGACCAGGACAAACATAAATTAACTGGTTATAGGACCAGTGCTATGGGTCAGCCTTTTGATTATTATCAGACACTAAATTTGACCATATCACAAATTTATTTTGAACTTGAAAAATTAAAGTACTTTGTAATGACATAACAATATCATGCTGCTGTGCTCTTTTTTTAATGTTTATTTTTGGGAGACAAAGAAAGAGCACAAGCAGGGGAGGGACAGAGAAGGGTGGGGGGGGGGGACAGAGGATCTGAAGCAGGCTCTGTGCTGACAAGCAGCTAGCCCAATGTGGGGCTTGAACTCACAAACTGTGAGATCATGACCTGAGCCAAAGTTGG